CAGCAGGTGCCCTATATGTGGGCACACGTCCCCTTTATGGGAGGAACCGGGGGACCGTTGGTTGGTTGGTTTGTTGTGTAACACCGCACTCAGCAATATTCCAGCTATATGACGGCGGACTGTAAATAATCGAGTCTGGACCAGACAATCCAGTGATTAATATCATGAACATCGATCCACGCAATTGGGACCGATGACATGTATCAACCAAGTCAGCGAGTTAGTCCCGTTAGTCGCCTTTTACGACAAGCATAGTCGTCTTTTACAGCAAGTATGGGTTGCTGAAGACCTATTCTACCCCGGAATGGCAGGAACCACGACCTGGGGGCCTTGAATGCCCACAAGGAGACACACCTGTGTGAGATAACAGGGGTCCTACAATGTCCTGACATTCCCACAGGAATAGAAGCATGGGGTACTGGGGACCTTGAATGCCCACAATAAGACTCACCTGTGTGAGATAACAGGGGTCCTACAATGTCCTGGCATTCCCACAGGAATAGAAGCATGAGGTACTGGGGACCTTGAATGCCCACAATAAGACTCACCTGTGTGAGATAACAGGGGTCCTACAATGTCCTGGCATTCCCACAGGAATAGAAGCATGGGGTACTGGGGACCTTGAATTCCCACAATAAGACTCACCTGTGTGAGATAACAGGGGTCCTACAATGTCCTGACATTCCCACAGGAATAGAAGCATGAGGTACTGGGGACCTTGAATATCCACAAGGAGACACACCTGTGTGAGATAACAGGGGTCCTACAATGTCCTGACATTCCCACAGGAATAGAAGCATGGGGTACTGGGGACCTTGAATGCCCACAAGGAGACACACTTGTGTGAGATAACAGGGGTCCTACAATGTCCTGGCATTCCCACAGGAATAGAAGCATGGGGTACTGGGGACCTTGAATGCCCACAAGGAGACACACCTGTGTGAGATAACAGGGGTCCTACAATGTCCTGGCATTCCCACAGGAATAGAAGCATGGGGTACTGGGGACATATACTACTCAAAAGAAATAGAGAACACCCTATTCTTTCATATTACTATTGTTTATCTGTCAGGGGACCCTATGACATCACATGGCAACAGGTCTGTGAGAATACCATTGGCACCACATCGCATGGTTGATCATGTTAACAGTATTAATGTCAAGACAGATTAACAATAGTAATATGAAAGAATTGGGTGTTCTCTATTTCTTTAGAGTAGTATACTTCTAAATGTTTTTACCAAGCATCAAGTTTGTGCAATACCAACAACCTTCTTATTTTTCTACCATCAAGCCTTCATCTAGTACAACTGCTATTGGTCAAATGTAGTTATCATTATTTCATAGAAACTGACTGTTATTGACAAATATAAGACAGCTATGCGATAAATCACAAAGAACAATGAAGAAGGAAGCGTGGTTTATTTCACGATAAAACATTGTTCTATCATGACGTCATTTCTGGAGATTCCAACAACGTAAATTGGACGACGTTATTTTTAGAGGTGTCCAGTGAGTTGTTCCCCGTAGATGTAGCTGGACAACAGAGATAAACGCAATGGCCGAACAACCGCGTCCCAAAGTGGGAGAGATATGACAATCGGTATTGGGAGAAAAGGTGCAGACAATCGATGTGCAAATGATAAAATATGCATGAAAGATCATGATATGGACTTGTCCAATGATGTCATGGACTTGTCCAACATTGCCGAGGTCGGATTCAATGCAGGGAGTCATCATTATTTAAATACGGGTAAATATTTTTAAAGCTTGTAAATTTTATTTAGATCCTTAAAGAGGCTGAACATAATATTGATATCTCGTATAAGAAATAAACGACTCATGGCTGTTGTTTATTGTACAATAAAAGACTGCAGGGAGAACAAATTTAATGGAAAAAATATAAAAACAAACACTAGATCACCTGTTTCTGACAACCATTTTAAATACGGTAACAGCTGTCACAACCTCTAATGGATCCTGTTTCTGACACCTTATACTGTTTTCAGTAACAAATAACACCATTAACATGATCAGCCATGCGACATGGTGCCAATGGTATTCTCACAGACCTGATGCCATGTGATATCATAGACATAACATGTGATGCCTATGGTATACTCTCAAGTCACTTGATGCTGTGTGATGCCATGTGATATCATAGACATAACATGTGACGCCTATGGTATACTCTCAAGTCACTTGATGCTGTGTGATGCCATGTGATATCATAGACATAACATGTGACGCCTATGGTATACTCTCAAGTCACTTGATGCTGTGTGATGCCATGTGATATCATAGACATAACAGGTGATGCCTATGGTATACTCTCAAGTCACTTGATGCTGTGTGATGCCATGTGATATCATAGACATAACAGGTGACGCCTATGGTATACTCTCAAGTCACTTGATGCTGTGTGATGCCATGTGATATCATAGACATAACATGTGACGCCTATGGTATACTCTCAAGTCACTTGATGCTGTGTGATGCCATGTGATATCATAGACATAACAGGTGATGCCTATGGTATACTCTCAAGTCACTTGATGCTGTGTGATGCCATGTGATATCATAGACATAACATGTGACGCCTATGGTATACTCTCAAGTCACTTGATGCTGTGTGATGCCATGTGATATCATAGACATAACAGGTGATGCCTATGGTATACTCTCAAGTCACTTGATGCTGTGTGATGCCATGTGATATCATAGACATACTGTGATAACATGTGACGCCTATGGTATACTCTCAAGTCACTTGATGCTGTGTGATGCCATGTAAAGCCATGTAATACCATGTGCTGCCTATAGCATACCATAATTAACTTGCTGCCTTGTTAGGAGCACTTTGGAGCACCCTTAAAACTCAGCACCAAAGCTTCTTGTGAGGACGATCTGCGCTGAAGGGGTTCCATGTCACTGAGACAAGGTACGAGTATTGTGAAAATCAGTCAAACTTGCAACATTCGGACTGCTATCCGATATTATAATGAACATGATGCCATGTGAGCCCATATCTGCAGAATTATTAATAGTTTTCACATACAGATACAGTTAATGTTGTTTTTGTGTATATTATTTTGCAGGTTTCATCAACACACAAGCTTGCAAACAGTGACTTTGGAAGACTAAGAGTTTACATGTGCCAGTGTGAGCCTTTTATTATACTGGCATCTGGTACTGTATATGTTTTGATAATATTTATTTCATCTTTTCACTGCCATCATCAGACCAGTGAAGACACGGATTAGAATTGGAAATGGCAAAAAAAGAGAGTATTTTTATATAACTATCCTATCTCACACTATGCATTTCTTCTTTCTTCTTCGATCCTATGTGGAAATGTGCTTGAACAGAGTTTCCAGCTTCTAAAAAACAATCCACCCGAACACACCCTAGCATCACCATGGTTACCCCCCAGACAAATGGGTCACACACGTAATCCTGTGCATAGCGACCAACACAACCTGATCATGTGCCCTCTTTGTCTGTCACTTCATTCTCTTTCATCAGAGCTAACAATGAGTGAGTGAGTGAGTGAGTATGGTTTTATGTTGCTTTAAGCAATATTCCAGCAATATCACGGCGGGGGACACCAGAAATGGGCTTCACACATTGTACCCATGTGGGGGAATCGAACTCGTGAATGCTTTAACCACTAGGCTACCCACCTCCCTTGTGGGCTAACAGGCTAGAGGAGATAAGATGCAGGGATGGTTAGGTGGGAATATAGCGTGTGAGATAGGATAAGTATATATATATACAATTGGAATATTTTTAAACTTATCCTATCTCACACTATGCATCCATCTCATTAAAATCAGATCTTAGTTCTCGCTATCGCTAAACAAAGATCTGAGGACATCCCATTACGGGTCATGTCAGAATGACCTTTCGATATCAGCCAATGAGAAAGCAGTTTTCTCGAGCTTTATAGCACTTGTTTCAACCTGGCAACTTCCATTTCAGATTACGCTTGAAAAATATATTGACACAGTTCTTGAATAAAATTTTAAAAACTGAAACGAACAATCCAGAATGTCTAATATATGGTTGCAATTGTATGGCAGTGCTTCCCATGTACTGCGCAACGCCTCCTTCGTTCAAATGTCTATCCCACGGAAGCGAGAGACAGACGATAATTTTGACGGAATCAGTCGTACGGGCCGTAACTAGCATGTGTTAAGGTTTTCGAGGTTGCATGATTAGAAAACACACTCCGACTGTCACTTTCATGATCTGGTAAGCGACGCTTTCATTGGTCGGATGAAAGGTCCTTCTGAAGTGACCCGTAATGGGATGTCCTCAGATCTTTGTTTAGCGATAGCGAGAACTAAGATCTGATTTTAATGAGATTGCACTATGCATTTATCCCACGGTTGGATGGTGGTACAGTTACCCTATCCTGTAAGACTACAACCGTGAGACGTACATGAGGAAGCTGGTTCTAAACAGTGAAATAAATAAAATATTTTAACCATGATATGATCCCGATACGCTACTCGTTCGTAACAGCATGAGATCAGGTACAACATGCAAAACATGTTTTCAAGTGTGACATCGTTACTGTGACTGCATAGCTGCACAGAAATCATCGATCCATGAGGGGGCTCCAGTCAATTGATTCTACAGGACAGAGCATGACACTATCTCCCATGAACAATGGCTTGCGTCTGCTCGGCATCTCTTTTAATGCATGGACACTGCGACGGCCATGCCTTGCGGCGACTTCAGTGAGCGAATCCACCCTCCAATCATGAACTTGGTCTGGGAAACCCATGTTTGTCATAAAAGGCGACTAATGGGACTGGGTGGTCAGGCTCGCTGACTTGGTTGACGCAGGTCATTGTATCCCAATTGCGTAGATCAATGCTCATGATGTCAATCACTTGATTGTCTGGTCAATTAATTACAGATGCCTATCATATAGCTCGAATATTGCGGAGAGTGGCATTAAACAACAAACGCTACAGCAAAACGTCCCCTACCTTGACATGATGACCATTCAAGTAGCGAGTTGCATCTCTGTACAGTCGATACATCACGAAGCCATTAGGGTCAAGGTTGTTTATCAATGGGTCGGCAGTCTGAAAAACATTGTTTGATAATCCAAATCTAAATATCACCATACCTCAATTTCAAGATGCAAACAAATTGTCTGAGATAAACCAAACAAAACAATGAACATGAAACTTAAGGCTTGTAATAATAGAACCACAACTGGTGTATCTATGGTAACTCACAAAAACTTAGCTTTAACGCCTCTCTGTGAAACAGGGCCAAGGTATGTGTTATTACCTTTGTCTAACAGTCATATGAATTGCAAAATACATGGCTGGCACTGTCAAAAGAATCTTGCTCGATGAGTGGAAGGGAGATAACTCTTGCACTTACCATGCCTTGCTCAGACGTATAAATGACAATCTCAAACATGGGGGGCCCAACTTGCTGCAGAAAGTACTCTATACCAGGCCTCTTTTTGAAACGCCAGCCAGTTCCATACTGAAAACAAGCATGGAGAATCGAGTCAGGTAGCACAAAGAGGTCAGAAGTCTCATCTCAAGACGTCTGTTCTAATTACCACGGTAATCTTTATGGAAGTTTGGCCCCATGGGGACCCAGGTTAGAAAAGGTCCCCAGCACCGGGGTGTTGGGGGGGACATCAGGGGGTGGAGAGACTGGTCAGTGAAACACAGATGTGACTGATACTTACTGTCTCGTCAGGGTGGGACTGGGTGATGGGGTGGACATCAGTTGGTGGAGAGACTGGTCAGTGAAACACAGATGTGACTGATACTTACTGTCCAGTCAGGGTGGACCGGGGTGTTGGGGGGGGACATCAAGGGGTGGAGAGACTGGTCAGTGAAACACAGATGTGACTGATACTTACTGTCCAGTCAGGTTGGACCTGGGTGTTGGGTGGACATCAGTGGGTGGAGAGACTGGTCAGTGAAACACAGATGTGACTGATACTTACTGTCCAGTCAGGGTGGACCGGGGTGTTGGGTGGACATCAGGGGCTGGAGAGACTGGTCAGTGAAACACAGAACTAACTGATACTTACTGTCCAGTCAGGTTGGACCGGGGTGTTGGGTGGACATCAGTGGGTGGAGAGACTGGTCAGTGAAACACAGATGTGACTGATACTTACTGTCCAGTCTGGGTGGACCGGGGTGTTGGGGGGGGACATCCGGGGGTGGAGAGACTGGTCAGTGAAACACAGATGTGACTGATACTTACTGTCCAGTCAGGGTGGACCGGGGTGTTGGGGGGGGACATCCGGGGGTGGAGAGACCTGTCAGTGAAACACAGATGTGACTGATACTTACTGTCCAGTCAGGGTGGACCGGGGTGTTGGGGGGGCTGGAGAGACTGGTCAGTGAAACACAGATGTGACTGATACTTACTGTCCAGTCAGGGTGCACCGGGGTGTTGGGTGGACATCAGTGGGTGGAGAGACTGGTCAGTGAAACACAGATGTGACTGATACTTATTGTCCAGTCAGGGTGGACCGGGGTGTTGGGTGGACATCAGTGGGTGGAGAGACTGGTCAGTGAAACACAGATGTGACTGATACTTACTGTCCAGTCAGGGTGGACAGGGGTGTTGGGGGGGGGGGGACATCAAGGGGTGGAGAGACTGGTGAGTGAAACACAGATGTTACTGATACTTACTGTCCAGTCAGGGTGGACAGGGGTGTTGGGGGGGGGGGACATCAAGGGGTGGAGAGACTGGTGAGTGAAACACAGATGTTACTGATACTTACTGTCCAGTCTGGGTGGACCAGTACCCCAGTCATCTCCAGGACCAGAGTGTAGGGTGGCTGGACATATGGGTACTCTAGGGGATCTGGTAACAACTTGTCGCGAGATGGATCTTGTATCGTCTGAAAGAAAGCACAGTACAATTTACTAAGTACACACAACTTCAACTAAAAGGTTGCATAGATGCTATAAAGTTGAGGAGAGGTGAAAGGCAAGAGGCACGAGCCGAGAGAGCGAGATCCTACCTTCCTAAACACTGACAGTTCTCTTGCTGCCCTTCTCATGTGAGCTTCTACGCTGGACACTGAAACAACAGACAAACAAGATCAGAGTGAGTGAGTGAGTGAGTATGGTTTTACGCCGCTTTTAGCAATATTCCAGCAATATCACGGCGGGGGACACCAGAAATGGGCTTCACACATTGTACCCATGTCAGGAATCAAACCCGGGTCTTCGGCGTGACAAGCGAACGCTATAACCACTAAGCTACCCGACCGCCCAAACAAGATCAGAGGAGTATTTAACACATGTAATCGCATACCCCCCAGGGTAAGTTTTGTACTATATTCAGCAGGCTTATCATGCTCCTACAGCTTACTCATCAACAACATCCTGTAATGAAAGTAAGCTTGCAATTTTGAAAATGTTTTCAAAGTATCATCATGGTCATAAAAATATATGAAGTGAATGAATGAGTCAGGCTAAATACCAGTGTTCGAAATAACTTTAAGACCCAACAAGACAGTCTGGCAGGTGACCCATAAGTGTTGCCTGCCCATCTTCAAAGTTACCTGCCTGCTTTCAGACATTATGAATATTGAAAAGTTGCAACAATTAAGAGACAAATCATGTCAAATAATGCAAACAATTACTTGAGAATCTACAAAGGTTATAATAAAACTGAATACATAAGTAGTCTTAAAATTATCTGCGAGACAGTCGGGCAGGTGGAGGAAAATTTCATGTAGCCCGACAGAAAAGTCACCAGCCACGGGCAGGTGGCCTGGCAGTTATTCAAGACACTGCTTAATACCACCTTGAATTGTATATATTCATATCAATGTATGTCAGGTTCCTTTTTTAAGAAAGTTAAAATGATAAAAATTCTCACGTGTACTGTTGATATAGTCATAGTTTTTGCAATTACTTAAATGTTCTAAATCTCAGTGGTCTATGATCATAAATTTACAAATGCAAAAATAATAGTAACAGTATACTTACATTTACTAAACTCATCTTCAACCTACAATACAAAAGAACCATATTTGTTTATACATGTAATAATAGATATGCTAAAGATTCAACAGTATGATTTATCATGTTATCGTATATTTACCATTCTGGGTCCAGATCCACAAAGCATTTGTCGCGTTACGACCTTTCGTAACTATATAGTTTATCATAGACTTAAGAATGTTGTAGTGCTACAAACTAATTGTGGTTCTGGACTGTATTTAGTCATGCTTTTTTTGCCTTAAAGCTATGTCAAATGATATGCACTTAGCTTACATTTAGTGAGTAAAATCTAAATATTTTTTTAACAATTGTGTACTTTTTCTGCATTACCGGTACTCCTTAATGCATTTACTGCTGGTTTTTTTACAGAAAGACGATGATGTGGGGACCAGCTGAAAAAGAAGTTGTTCCAACTAGTTGTGTGGCTAATTCCTTCACACATGCCTGTGTGACCACTGAAGTAATGACGTCGCGGAACCTCTCATTACTGCTTGATTGTAACATCTGCAGACACCGTGGGGAGGCAGCTCTGCGTCGGGTGGGCCACATTAGACATTGTAATGCAGGATAAGTATACAAATGTAAAAAAGATATTTAGAGAAAAACTTTAAAAAATTAACTTTTCCTGCTTACTCCTTAATGCATCTGTATTGGACAGTATGGAGGCGGATGACCCTCGTCAAAAAGTCCAGGCAACCATCAAAGCATCCTTTGCGATGACCGGAACCCAGGCTGCCATTCCTGCCAGAGGAAAAATGAGAGCCAATGCCTGCAACATGAAAGCCTTCTTATCTGGACTGCAAGCACCAGAGAGTTAGAAAGCTGGCTCTGGACTGCTGGAGAAATTAATGGTGTTTGGGGTTGATGACCTGCTGGGCAACAGCTGGAGGACCAAAACTGTGAGGATCTAGGACAGCAGCCTCAGAAGCCTGAAGGAGGATCAGGGGTAGCCACAAAGATATTGTGTTACGGCTAACATCAGTTTCGGAAGCTGTGGCAATAGGGATGAATAGTCGCCTCCTTGATCCATGTTGGGCCTTAGATCATCGGGTGAAAACCCTCAGTGCTCAAACCCGGCACAAGTGTAGTTCCTCTTCATCTTTAGCCCCCACAATTGAAGAGAGTGGCGGGATGGTGAACGACCTGTCAGGCTGTCCTGGGAGTTGATTCTTGGTCATGAAAAGTCGCAGCAATGCCCAAGATGAACAGCTCCCTGCACACAAACTGGACACGGGTGATGTCGAGTGCATGCAACTCGCTTACCCTCACCGCTGTAGCTAAAGCCAAGAGGAGCACCGTCTTCTTGGTGAAGAAGCTGAGTGTATAGGCTCAAATGGAGCAGCATGTAGTAAATTAGGAACCATGTTTGGATCCAAGGCAGTAGGTCTGAACTTGGCCTTCTGATCCTCTAGTCTGAAGGAGCGCAGCAATGCTTGGAATTCAGTGACCTTTGTCATTTTGCGATCTTCCTGAACTGCCACCAGGTAGGTAGTAATGGTGCTGACCTTGAGGTGTCATTTGCTGAACAAAAACAGAAGGAATTCTGCCTAGAATTGGGGAGATGCTGAAGTAGGGTCCTGATGCTTCTCCTTACAAAAGGACTAAAAGGATCACCACTTATCGTTGTAGGGTCCATGGGTATAAGGTCTGTTTGCCATGGTTATGGTTTTGGCTGCTCTAGCCGGGTAGCCCTTGACACCTTAGGCCCCTTGAAGATCCACCAGACGGGCAAATGAAACCTGCCTTGAGAAGGGTATTGTAAACTGCTGTGTGGATGTGTTTGGCCACCCTGGTGGTTCGAGTGCATTGTTTGTGGCCAGATCCACGAATCAGCCCCTCACAGGCCACCAAGGCACAATTAAAATCAAAGTAAGGCTCTTGGTTGCTCTGATCTATTGAAGGATCTTGGGAAGAAGATCAGGTGGCGCAAAAGCATACGCTCTTAGGCCTTCCCAAGGGATGCTGAGAATGTATACAACCCAAACCTGTGGATCCGGAACTGGAGTCCTGGTGGTTCAGCAGACAGTCCGCATTCAAGTTGCCTTTGAATGCCAGAGTAAGAGATAATTTCACTAAGTCCTTGTCCAATGCTGTCCACCAAAATGGACCTTGATGACTTGGAGCTACGTCTAGAGGAAGATCCAGGAGATGCCGACCCGTGCGACAATGCAGCTTTTGGAGTAGAGGCGCTACCGGCAAGCACAAGAGGAACCAGCTGAGGCACCAACAACTGATGAAACATGGACTGCATAAAAACTTGCATCCAAGCCGGGTCCATATTAGGTGCCTGTAGAGACTGTAGTGGTGCCTGCTTGAACGGCATCTGCATTGACAGGAAGCCAGATGATGGACCAAACCCTGGAGGGGCCGAGGGTGCAGGCGCTTGAGGAGGTGTCATGTAGAGCCCCCGAGGCGCAGGCGCTGACAGCAGATGATACGCTTAGGCAAGCATTGGCATTGGGGAAGTCGAAGGCCCCTGGGAAGGCGTAGGCGTCTGCGTGCTTATCAGCATCTTGGGAGGTGTAGCTATATGCCTAGTCATTGGCATCAGAGGAGGCTTGGAGAGGCAGCGCTCTTTGGTGTAGATGACGAGGACGGCTTCCAGTCTGAAGCTGACAGCATGAATATGAAACTGGACGTGGCAGGGGTCTTGAGAGTCTGACATCCTTGGGTGTCTGAGGGCCTGCACAATATATTAATGTGATGGCAAAAATATTTGGTAAGACGTGAAGTCACAAACCATAAGAATGATATCAATCGATGAACAATAAACAAGCAAAGGGATGCCAGTAGATTAGCTACAGCTTTATCATACAGGACTTGTCAGTCGGGTTGACAAGCTGTACTGTGAGGTTCTGTGATGTCATCACTTCTGTGGTCACATGGACGCTGTGTGACGGACTTAGCCACACAACTAGTTGGAACAACTTCTTTTTCAGCTGGTCCTCACACCTTCGTCTTTCTGTTAAAAAACAGCAGTAAATGCATTAAGGAGTAATGCAGGATAAGTTAAAAAATGAATACATTTGTGAAAAACAGCTTTTAATGCTGAAACCCACCAGCCATGCTCATAGTAAATGACAATGAATGGTCAAACACAGATTTTTTATATATATTGTTGCCAAGGAAACCCAAGACATTTGTCAGCAACACTGCATGAACTACAAAATCTACAGAAGGCCTACTTCACACAATAGGTTCATTGACATGTTGGTTGATGTCTACTTACTATGTTTCCATCTGGGTCTCTTGGAGGTGCACCTGACAGGAGAAAGCAGACAGTTTAGGGCTTGTCAAACACACAAGCAATCTTTAGTCAACACATTGTTTCAGTCACTTATTATTGTCAGTGTTCGACGCTAACACTCGTCCACAGGTCCGAGTCTGGTATATTTTCCCCTAAGGACCAGTAAAATAATATAGATGCTCGTTTGGAAGTCTAGTGTTATTTTGAAGACACACAAAGTATGTATTTTTTAGAGAAAAAATATCATTTATACTTATCCTGACTCATACTTATTGCTTATCTCTCTCTCTTCCGAATAGGTAGTGGAAACTTCCTGTGCTGTTCCCAAAGAACAGAGAAAACAGCTCACCCAAATGCACCCTCACTCTCCGCATGCGCACCGGAACCATGAGACCAAGCCCAGTAACTCATCACTCTCTCTTATTTCCTACTTAATGGTCGGAACACATCAGTGGAAAGAGGGGAAGGCCGGGAGGGTACTCATTTGTATAGGATAATCATAAATGATATTTTTACTCTAAAAAATACATATTTTATCTTATCCTGACTCATACTTATTGCTTGAATCGCACAGTAGGTGGTGGGTTCCACCTGTATGTGTGATTAACGTTGATCTGTTCTATAAACCCCATAGGAACGTTGTTAATCTTCTGTGTAAATTCTTTATTTGGGGACCACCTTCCTTTGTTGTGAGCAGCAAAATGGAAGTAAATCATTCAGATTTGTGGATTTATAAGGTTTCTAAGATTAAAATCTTGTTCACCTTAAATGATTAAAGTGTTAGGAGAAAAGGAATAATCTTAACACAATCATTTCTCACTCATGTGCTGAATTACATAGTAAAACAGGGGGCATGGACTCTCAGTCGTTGGTTATGGAACAGTAACCTGACGTCAACAAGTCTACGTGATATTGGGTGAGTGTGATCTTCTAATGTCGTCTGGTAGGATTTGTGAGTTGTTGTGCCACAACTAATGGTCCGAATTGGTGAATACCAGCTAAGTCTTCTGTAGCAAGGTCTCTGAGGTAGTGATTGGCGAAAACTGTATCTGATTTCCAGAAACAGCCTTCCATAATAGTTGTTATGGAGCAGTTGTTGTGAAGTGCCAAAGTTGAGGCTAAGGCTGTTACTTCGTGCGGGTTGGAGGCTGAAGGGGGGTCCAATCCCACTGCTCTGTATGCTCTGAGAATAACAGCTCTCATCCAAAATGAGATAGTTGTTCTGGATACCTCTGTGTGTGTATTCCTTAATAAAGGAATAAATAGTCTCTTAAAACCTTGTCTTCTAGGTTTAGACTTTTGTAGGTATAATCTTAAGGCTCTGACTGGGCATAGTGATAAACACAGAATTGTCTGTCTGGTTGGCCTGGTAACTGGTTATTTGCAATAAAGACACATCTTAAGCCAAGGTGCGCTGATGAGTTGTTACCACTGTCAAATGTTATGTGATTGAAGTCTATCACGTGGATTTCAGACATTCTGGCTGCGTCAGGTGTTCAAAGTCGGCCTGTTAGAGCAGTTCGTATGCATCACTGGTTAGGTGTTGTAGCATGCTGGGGCTCTTAATCTTTTCTGTTGGTCCTCCAGTCTGAAGGATCTGAGTAGGGCCATCAGCTCGGGAACTTTAGTAAGTTTTATCCCATTTGCCATTGTCAGTACAGAACTGATAGCGGCCAAATAAGTGCCCAGTGTCGAACCTTTAAGATTCCTTGTACTTCGTAAGTGACATAGGTAATCTGCTACTTGTGGTATAGTAGCTTTGGCTGCAGAAAAACCCTTGGATGTTGCAAACTGGTCAAAACTTTTCCATTTATCGTCATAGAGATTCCTCGTTGATCTACTAAGTGCTAAGGAGACTGCCTTAGCTGCTCTCAGGGAATATCCTCTTTTAACGAGACTGCTCTTGATATGCTCCATACGTGAAGTTCGTATAGATCTGGTCTTGGATGGACCTGATTGGAGTCAGGATGTAGCAGTAGATTTGGCCAGTTTGGAAGTTTTAATATTGGATTTCCTGCTAGTTCGACGAGATCTGGAAACCACGTTCTCGCCGGCCAGTAAGGCGCTACCAAAAGCAGTTGTAGGCTGCTCGTGTGTAGGATCTTTGGTAATATATGTGGTATCACGGCTGGTGGAGGAAACGCGTACGCGTTTAGTCCCTCCCATGATATTGACAGAGCATCAACTGACCAAGCTAGTGGGTCTGGCACTGGTGATACAAATGTTGTTATCTGATTGTTGAATCTGGCTGCGAATAGGTCTATCAGTGGGCAACCTTTTTCTTTTATTGCCAGTTGGAATGCTTCTGGGTGTAGCTTCCATTCTGTCGGTGATGGTTTGGCTGGTCTGGTGAAGGCGTCTGCTAAGACATATGCCACTGCTGGTATATGTCTTGTCTTTATTGTTGAGTTCAGATTGTCTACTAGCTCGTAAAGTTGAAATGTCAACTTCAGGCGGGTCAAGGTTTATATTGTATGCCACAGTTGAATTGTCTGTTCTGATCATCAGACGTTGGTTTCTTAACTGTGGGGCCCAGTGAAATAATGCACGGATTACTGCCTAACATTCCAGATAATTGATGTGGTAGAGCTTTTCTGCTTCTAACCATAGGCCTGCTTTTACTTCTCTGTTGAAGTGAGCTCCCCAGCCTTGAAGTGAGGCGTCCACGAATAAGTGGTTGTTGTAATCCGGCTCGTTTAAACAAGTTTCTGCGCAAATGTTGGATTTCACTGTCCACCATAAGAGGTGTTTCCTCAATGTTTGTGGTAGTTGCAGTTTTAAATCCTGGTACTCTAGGTATGGATTTAGAAATCTCTGAATAGGGCGTAAGTGTAGTCTGCCTCGGACCGTCCACGCTTGGGCTGACGTGAGTCAGCCTAGTATCACTTGCCATTTGTTGACTGAGATTTTCTTGTAAATTGCTGTTGGCAAACAAGTCTTGATTTTTATCCACCGATCTTCTGGTACCATTATCAGATTCTGATTGGTTAGAAATCTGATCCCCAGAAATTTGAGGTCCTGAGATGGTTGTAGATCGGACTTCTGAAAATATATTAACCAACCCAGTCGTGTTAATAATTTCAGGGTGAAATTTAGTTGTAGTCTGAGTAGCTCTGTTGATTGATGGGCTTGTATCCCATCGTCTAGGTAAAAAGCACAACGAATTTCCTTGTTGTGAAGAAATGTCACAATTGGTTTGGTCACTCGTGTAAATAGCCACGGGGCCGTGGAAATTCCAAAGGGCAGGACCGCCCACTGGTAATGTTGTCCTTCAAAGAGGAAACATAAATTTTTCCTGAAAGTCCGTTTTATGGGAATGTGTAGGTAAGCATCCTGTAGATTGATGCTTCCTATCATTTGTTGAATCATTCTGAAATCCTCCGGTTTTGGGAGATATTTCTTGTTGAATTTTCTCATGTTATAAATCAAACGAAACTTTTCGTTCTTTTGGGGAACCAAAAAGATCAGCGAATAGAAACCTGGCGTTAGTAATTCTGGTTGAATTATCTTGACTGCGCCCTTGTTGAGACGTGAATTGATTGCTTCGGTTAACTTCGGCAACAATTCTTTCCGATAAGGTATTTCCGGTGGCTTGCGAGATAACGGGGATTTCTTGAGTAAAGTCAGGGCGTAGCCCTTTCTTAGAATGTTGGAAACAATTGTCTCCTAGAATGTCCCAATTCATCCAATATCTTGCCAATCTTCCGCCTACTGGGGAATGCTGTACATGAACGGCTGGTGGGGGAGTTCCCTGTCGTTCAAAAGCCCATCTTCTCCGGTAATTGCGAGATCCCCTCCATCTGCGGCCGCGGTCGCACCCGGCATCACGTGACGTGTCATGTGACTTGCGAAAAGCAGATGATTTCCCGCCTCTGTAGTTGAACGAGCGTTTTTGAAGTCCTTGTGATTTCGTGGCTTTCGCAAAAGAAACATTAAGATTCTCTGCAATGTTGGAGATCGGTTTTATCGGTGGGCTGGTTAGGGTGTCTATATCGTCCCCTTTGATACAGTATGTATCAGTGGGAGAAGAATTTCTTGACGGTGATGATATTGGCAGTCTATCTGTAATCCACGCCATTAATTCATGATCCTCATAAATTGAAAGGTAATTTTCCCCCGATGTGTCCTCATTTTGAGGGGGCTCGAACACATCCTCCTCTCGCAGAAGATAGGAGGCATTGGGATTCGGAGCCGTAAATGAAGGCTGCAACATCTGCAAGCTATTGTGTGAAGAGGTAGATGATTGCGTGCCAGGTTGTTTACACATTTGTTGTTGCATAGCCGTTACGACTTGTTGTGTGATATTTGCTATCACATCTGTATTAATAGCAGGCGTTAGCAAAGTGCCTTGTGTAAAAAAGGTAGGCTGCGTGAAGGTAGTTGGCAGTGTAAACGATGAAGGCTGCACGAAGGCAGGAACCTGCGTGAACGCTGGCGTCTGTGTATACTCTTGTTGTTTAATAGGCTGACACCTGCGCGAAGGTAGAGGATTGCGTAATTGTTGTGTTTGGCTGCGCGAAGGCCGGTATCTGCGCAAAGGTCTGAGGCTGATTGAGGTTTGTATCGGTTGTATTTGTAGCCGGATTGGATGACACTGCGGGCTGCGCGAATCTCTGGGGTTGTGTGGACGTAATTGTCTGCACGCAGGCTTTCTTCGGGCTAGAAGAAACAGCTGATTTTCTTGAAACCCCCTACGTGACTACGGATGAAGTCCGTGGTTTTGTGGAGGTTATAACCTCTGCAAAAACATGCTCTCTCCTAGGGGAAGACGGCTTCAAAGTAGATGATGCAGCACTCTTTTTCTGAGCTAGTTGTTGTAGATTGATAGCCTGACTGAAGTGTTCAGTAGGTTTATTCTTAGACCCTCTAGACTTCTTACTGGTAGACGAGAAAGTAAGATGGGGGGGTGACTGCATCATATTCAGCGGGAGTAATTTGAATAATATCAAATCAAATTCCTCTGACGAAGGGCAGGGCGTAGATTCTCGCCTCTTCTTACTTTTAGCCGTCTCTGTGGATGATAACGAGCGTGATGACTCACATCGTTTCCGATCCATTTTTTCCTCTGCACTGCAAAAAGATAATTACTTAATTCTTCCTTCCCCAAAGGGGCGCAGAATTTGCATCTATTCTCTGCAGTGCAGTTCTGTACTGCGCACCTGGTACAGGTTGGATGAGGGTCCGATTCTGAAACACGTAATTTACATTGGTTACATGTTTTCATAATCCACTTACCTATTTTCTATTTTCATTCTTTATGTAATTGGAAAATCATTTTAAAAAGAATTATAAATAGTTTCTGTCATCAACCATTTCCCGATAACAGCGGCTGTCCCCTTAGTGACATGAAGAAATACCCCTGTTTTCGAGGCTTCGTATGAATAACACTTTCGTAACATCGCCTGTGTTTTTTCCGTAGTTATAACAAGCGATTTCATTGGATTAAAATTGGTTTCTAATGACGCTTCCTTGCCGAAATCTGCTACAAGTTTCTTGATTGGTCAATTTTGAGCACGTGACCTAAGGCAGCCAATGAAATTACAGCTGTGATACCAAGCTCGTGTTTGATAAATTTCAGAAGTTGGCGAAAGATTTTTGTTAAATCGTGTTATTCCGAACGTTTTAAGCAGGAAATCACGATATATATTAAAAATATGGAACTTTGTGAATGTATCGTGCTAGGTTACGAGCTGTGACAAAGATTTTTCATGCATATATTTTTGCATTAAACATCGTGTCCGAGCCGAGAATTCAAGGCGACGAAAGCTGAGATGTCATTTGACTTACATTACTCGCGATCGCACAAAAGTGGAAATAATATCTTAGATGTAAGTTTGATTACTTTTAGATATATTTTTGTTGATTTTATTTATTACTTTGTATGATATATTTAAAGATTTGTTTAAAACGTCTTTATTTTGCTCTTTAACATGTTCGATGTGGACCCGTTGTCGTAATGTGTGTCCGAGAATTTTATTTTCAATAACATCGCGGGAAATAGTGAATAACTTTTTAATTTATCGATAAAAAGTGATAAATTGAAATGGAATACGTATTTCAGACATTGTGAAATGTGATAGATTTAATAAATGAATGATAGTACAGGTAGGTCCATAAAAATATATACTATTTTGACGTGACTACGGCTTGCCCAGTTAACCGGCCAATGGTGTCTGGGGACTCGATGCTTCTTGGCCAGAAAACCCGCCTATGGTGTTGAAAGAGTTACGAAAAATTACGAAAAATTCTAATGCCAAATATATAAAATAATCGTTAGATATGATGTATAGAATACCACAGAAGATAATCCAAGCAAAAGATTTTGTTAAAAAGGGTAAATTTTTATGGAAAGCTTGGATTACGATGCACAGAAAAAAAATTCCAGCTGCCAAGATGGCGCGAAAAAGAGAGAGTGATGAGTTACTGGGCTTGGTCACATGATTCTGATGCGCATGCACGGAATAAGGGTGCGTTTGGGTGAGCTGTTTTCTCTGTTCTTTGGGAACAGCACAGGAAGTTTCCACTACCTATTCGGAAGAGAGAGAGATAAGCAATAAGTATGAGTCAGGATAAGATAAAATAATATTAATATTTGTTTGTACAACTTTTGAAATTAGTGATATATCAGCTCTGTACAGTGGTTACTTCTTGACTGGTTTCTCATTCTACAGACAAATTTTGGTCAGTGTCAAGGACTGATAGTAACAACATAGATGCTGCATGGTAAGTAGGCTAAAATGCTGAAATATTGTTTGAGTATCAATGCATCACTTAAAAACCAATGAATGCCTGTCAGAGGAGGCAGCTAAAAAAATCTGGTGGTCAAGCTCAGTGATTGCTTGTCATCTTACCTAGATTGTGTGTAACACTGCTCAAAATATCAGTCACTGGTTTGTTTGGTCCTGGCTCATTTATGGCCACCGCGATATAACAGAAATATTTCCGGATTGTAGTGTTCAACATATTTTAAACCATGTAGTATCTCTTCAATTTCCACACACATTTTATATGCTTTCATCATGAGACGAAAAGGTGATGCTACTGCTAGCCTTGAATTTCCCAAATTCACTTGCAAAAATGTCATCAATATTTGTAATTTGGTCAGATTTCCCAAAATATCAAAACAATCAACAATGTGTTTAATTTGTTGACAACAGAAATCAGACCTGACTGGCCACTGCCTTTTCTTTTATCATGTGGATCCATCTTATTTACAAGGGTACAAGTTACCTCAGATATATCATGCTTACCTATTTATCATGCCTACCTTGCAATTACACATGAAACGAGTGCAAAATACTTCCCAATAACTTATTGGTCATGATGTAATTTTCTAAACACGCCAGTCACTGTCATTTTCATAAACCTTGCGACAGGTGAAGATTCTTACCATATAGATGAACAAACCCTCCTACAGTCATAACTGCCCATCCTCCTAAAAGACCCAACCCGAGCTTCCATGCATTCTTCCCTGTCCACCTTGACCATCGTGACTGTTTCGAGTCTTCCTCTTTGGATTTTTCAGAATTAGTATTGTTATCGGAAGAGCCTTCTTCTTTACTTTTCTCTGCAAGAATTTTGGCCTTCAAGATTTCATCAGTAAGTCCCTTGACATTGTCCGATTGTTTAGTGGAATATAGTAAAACGATGCTGGACTGTGTTGGAATGATTTTCCTTTGTGTAAGATGTTGTGAATGAAGACACTGTTGTCGGGTGTTATATACTGTCACAAGAGACACAGACTTCTTAAGCAAATGACATCTTTGCACAAAACACATGCACGCACTGTAGGCTGCCATCTTGGATCATCACTGTTCTAAAAGTGGGATTGCGAAACGAAACCTAAAACGAAATCTGATTGTGTTTGCTAATGTAACTCCTCTCTAAAACTTTAAGCATTTTCTTTTTGTTTATAATTTATCTCTCAATTTGATATTTTCACATACCCTTTTGGTATGTTTAGAAATCATGTTGTTACAACCATCATTGACATGGGACAATGTTTTATGTTTTATTTTCTCCTGAGTATTTACTGTTTTATATATCTGTTGGATCTGGTGACTAAAATTATGCAAATAAAACATGATAATGAAATACTTTCAATGTACTTATATGGTATTTATTGTTTTAGTTACAGCAAAATATATGATGAAAGCGTCAAACTTTCTATACACAGTTGTTTATGGTACTGAAGCACTAAAAGAAGTCTTCAACATCTATACAGAGAACATATGGTCTCTGGTCTATATTATTTCAATAATGTGATGTTTCGGTATACATCTTTTTATCCTTATAAAAAGCAATAGCACCAGTACTAAAATGTAGTATTAATAAAACAATATAGAAATCCACAAGTTAATTGTCGTCACTGACAGTTCGGCTTATAAAATGCCAATTAAAGCATAAAATGTCTGTGTTGAAGATTATTGTGTATAGGGTCACATGACCAAAACTACACAATCTGTATTTTTGTAGAGTATATTTTTTCTGTCAAAGAAAAAGCAAAGACTAAATAATAATTAATTCTTTAAAATTGTTTGTAAATCAGCATTCTCTTTTCAGTGTTTCAGTATACACATATATTAATTATTCTTACAACATACTACATACTGTAATCTTATACCATTGTTTTGTTGCCATTACATCTAAGCCATTGTTTTAGCAGTGCCATAACTCGACCAGTGGTCAAAGGAGCAAAATATTTTGCTGTTTGAAATTGTGTCCCTTAGTCATGCCAGGATCTGCTGATTTTCTGTTAGCTTCCCTGGATATCCTTGGTTTGTAAGCACCATTCCTATGCTTGTGCGTTTCACCTGTGTGTCATGTCAAGCTCTCTTCCCTGGCACCCCACGGCATAACTGAAAGATTGTTCATGGTTCCATTTAACCAAATTCAGTCACTCATTCATTATTCTAACTAAACGGACCGCCTCCGTGGTCTTGTGGAAGAGCGTCCGCCCGGAGAGCGGAAGGTCCAGGGTTCGATCCCGGGCCGCGTCATACAAAAAGACGTTAAAAGATTGTACTTGTTGTTACCCTGTCTGGCGCTCGGCATTAAGGGGCTAAAACAAGGACTGGTCGGCTCGGAGTCAGTATACTGTGTCTGAGTGGGGTATTCATGTTAAACTGCGGCATGGTATCTCAGTGAGCTAGCACTATAAATCGGCATCAGTCCGGACTAGTACAAGCAGCCACACACACACATACACGTGCATGCACGTCGCTATATAAGTGCAATAATCTTGGACAAGACGTTGAACCCAATTTCACCTCACCTCACCTCTAACTAAACTATTCTGACTAATTTACTGTTGTTTGAAAACAATATATTAATTTGCATAGAAAGTTAAATGGATAATATATTAAAAGGACTATGGATATATGATCCAGAAATAAACACTACAACCCATCTGGTTTTTAAGTTGCACTCTGGTAATGAAAAATAACATGTTTGGGGGTTAAGTGCAACTTGTTGTCAAGGAAACCTCAAAAGACACCAGTTCAGAATATGTTTGATACACATGCAAAAAAATCATAACAAAATATTAAACGGTTTTCAAGTAATGCTCCAAAAACAAATGCTACGAGTATTTGTTGCCAAGGAAACACAAAAAATATGTTCAGAAATACCAACACATCAAAAGGCACCAGTTCTGCATGTGTTCGATACATATGCAAAGTTTCATGATAAAATATTAAATGGTTTCCATGTTATGCTCTGGAACAAATGCTACATGTGTGAGTGTTACTCAGGGTTTGTTGCCATGGAAACACAAAACATATATTTGTTTAGATATACCAAAACATCTAAAGGCACCAGTTCTGCATGTGTTTGATACACGTGCAAAGTGTCTTAATGAAGTGTGAAAGTTTCCGAGTTATTGTCCGGAAAAGAAACGTGACAAACGGACAAAGGACAGACGGCCAGCACCCATACCTATAACCCCCTTTCGTGACAGGGAATAAAAATCTAATTTTGACAATGAACTTGGTTGTGTAACACTTTTCCTTTCCGTCAGGGGTGATTGAGTAGCCTTGTAGCCTAGTGGTCACAATGTTTGATCGTCACGCTGAATGCCCAAGTTCGATTCCCTACTATGTACTATGTGTGAAGCCCATTTCTGGTGCCCTCTGCAGTGAAAGTGCTGTAAAACCATACTCACGCACTCATTCCTTACATCTAGGTGGGTACTATTGATACTATGAAAAGAAAAACAAAGGCTACAAAAATATATATACATTTTATTGATATATTATGGTTATAATGAACACATACATAAAACTACCGGAAACAACAAATTCCAATTACAACCAAAGACCTTTCAGGTTATTTGTTTTGCACTGGAAGCTCCTTGACTCAAACTCCATTGAACTGATACTGTGTGTAAAACAACATAACTTGATGCCTTCATTGCCTTCATCAGACTCAAGACTTGTTTCAACTTTGATACGTTATTTGTTGCGAAATCTGGATAGCTGAATTTTCAAACTGAAACCGTTGGAAGAATGATTTCGGATAATAGACAATCTCATTAAAACCAGATCTTAGTTCACGCTACCGCTAAACAAAGATCTGAGGACATCCCATTACGGGTCACGTCAGACCGACCTTGCACGAACTTTGACCGACCAATGGTATGACCAGTCAGAAGGTAGCTTTCTCGTGCTTAGAAACGTATTTTGACAAATTCTCCGTTACAAATTTGAAACCTGAACAAAAGAACATTCTGGAATGGCTAATAGATGGTCTAGATTGTATGGATACAGTCATTAAACCCGTAACTATCGTTCGGAGTTAATGTATTCAAGGCTGCATGATCAGAAATCACATTCCGACTGTCACTTTCATAATCTGGTAAGCGATGCTCTGATTAGTCGGATGAAAGGTCGTTCTGACGTGACCCGTAATGGGATGTCCTCAGATCTTTGTTTAGCGGTAGCAAGAACTGAGGTCTGATTTTAATGAGATTGGGATTATAGATAGAATCTCAACCTCATGTCTTTTGATATGAAATACATGAACACGAGTTAATATAAGTCGAAAACTCCAAGGCTTGTAAGTTACTTGGTGAGATTCTTGCACTAGTTTTAGCTATCAAGGATTCAGGGTTAATGATGTTCATGTGTACTGAATTTGCTCTGATTGGTCATCTGATGATCTACATATCCTGTCTGAAAGGAGCACAAGGATATACAACCAGAACAATGAACTCTGAAAGTAGTTGGAATTATTGTACCCATAGTTTCAGTAAGGGCAAAGTGCATCAGGACTGTACTGAAATAGAAATTTGGATACTTCAGGATACAGTAACATATACCGTAAATGAACATATACCGTATTCAACGTAATAAGCGACCCACTCTAATAAGCGCCCACAGCAATATTTGCTAATATATTGGCTTGTGAACAATCCCAATTAGCACCCCTTTCAATTGATCAATGTACACAAGACTTATTTATTCGTGTATAATACGCACTCGTGTGTTATATGCACCCTTAATTATGGGCAATTAAATTCTGGAAAATATATCTGTGGTGTATAATACACACAGACTTTCCGTTTGTATCATTACAGCCTCTCAGCATAAACCACAAAATTTACGATCTTTCAACTCTGTTTTTTTTTTCCACAAAACTTTATTCTAATAAGAGCCCCCTATTTCTGATTTTGAGGGTGCCCTGAGCGCTTATTGCGGCGAATACGGTATGTGGTATATTGTTGTGATTAATCATGAGAACTGATAAGTATGACATGAACCAATTATGCACTACAGTCCTGGGTGTTGTTGTACAACAGAACCCTAGCTATGAATGTTGTAAGTCTGTGTTTGTTTGTTTGTTTGTTTGTTGTTTACACACTCAGCAACATTCCAGCTATACTGTGTTAAGGTATGAGAGTTACAATCACCCTAGCGCTAAGATCACTTTGTACAACTGCACCCTGAAGATGAAAAGGTTTGAGACATCAGTTTATTTGAACAAAGAGGTTTGATTGCACAAGAACAAGTACACGATAGCGAGGCATTACTGCTTAATGCTGGATCAGCCATCTTGCAGTTATTCGCAGCAATACATATAAGTTATCCAAGGCAGGTATATTCAACACACACACAAGCTGTCATTAAGCAGAAGGCACATTTGTAGTCACTCCGGAATGAATTAATTGTATTCTGTAGTAACAGAATAAGTAGACTTACTATGTGTTAAGGGGTCTTGACAAGTGAGTGAGTGAATGAGTGAGTTGGGTTTAACGCCGCTTTCAACATTATTCCAGTTATATCACATCATGTCAGCTTAATGTGGGAGGAAAGCCTGAGGTGATGCAGGTCTCAGTTACCACTTTGGTGAAACCCACAAGCACAGGTATGGTGTATGGTGCTGACAAACCTAGAAACATAATCGGGGTGAACCGGGATTCGAACCCATAATCATAGGTTTCTGGCGTGTCTAAAGAATGCAAATGGGGATTAACGTTGCGTGCAGGATTATTACACTATTATAGGGACGTGTTTGTATCTGCTTGTACAAGTGGGGACTAATGCCGGTTTTATATGCGTGCAAGATTATTGCACTTATATATCGATGTACATGCATATGTGTGTATATGTGTGTGTCTGCTTGTACTAGTCTGGACTAATGCCAGTTTTATAATGCTAGCTCGTGAGACGCCATGCCGAAGTTTAACATGGAAACCTACTCAGACACATTTTTCTGACTCCAAGCCAGCCAGTCCTTATTTTAACCCCTTAATGCCGAGTAGCAGACAGGGAAACCAACAAGTACCAACTTTAAACATATTTTGGTATGACGCGGACGGGGATTAAACCAC